TGAAAGCACCTTTCCAGAAGCCCATGTCACAATGTTTTCACTTGCTTTGCTTTTCTCAAATTCCCTCCAAATCATGCTGTCTCCATCCCAGCAGCACTTACAATATCAAGAAATATGCTCTCCAAGAAAAAGAAATCTTCCTCTCCCAAGTCCCTTTTCTCATTTGGTCAACTCACTTTTGGTTGAATGAAATTTGTGTTTACCTCAGACTACAAATAAAAACAAATTATAAATCACAGCCAGTCACAGATGACACAAACACAGTTCTCCCTGGGGGGATGTTCCAGGGAGCATAATACATCCAGGGTGCCCTGCAGAGTCTTCCCCTGGGTGGGCACAGGACAGGTCAATGGAGGTCCTTAAATCACACTATCACAGCAGATCAGAACCCAGGTTCTCTGCTGGAGGCCCTCTGTCCTCCCTGCAGGGTACCCAGGGTAGGGGCAGAGTGTACCAGGGTTCCACAGAACAGGAGGAGATGCCCACCCTGTGGCACACACCAGGTTGAGCCTGGGGCCCAGTGTACCAAGACTCCACAGAAGGGGGAGATGCCAAACCTGTGGTGTACACCATGGTGACCCTGGGCTGAGAGGGGTCTGGAGGGAGCCCATGAGGCTAAGAGGGGGTATGGTCCCTGGTGGCCACCAAGGCCATCAGGAAAGAGGAAAATGAGTGTGGAGAACTGAGGGGACTCTGAGCCCAGGCAGTGCATGGAAGAAGGTGATAGTGAAGAGAAGATCCAGACACGACTGGGTGGTCATGGCCCAGGAAGTTCATCAGACCCAGGAGTAAATGGGCATCCATGCAAGTGCCTCCTGCTCCACAGTCATTAATAGACCCCAGGACCAGCAATGTCCAGGACTCCTGGGTAGAATGACCCCAGCAGAGCACAGCAAGAACACCCAGAAGTTCATACCAACATGTAGGACCCCCTGCAGCACACAGCAAGCACTGGCAAGCAGGACTCCTGGAAATTTATTGTCTGTAAGGTCAAGAGGTGTACTGCCTTCATGAAGGGTGACCACCTCCCGGTGCTGCACCCACTGTGGATTTTGTCTGGGTCATGACTGCTGGGAAAGGAAGCTCTAAAGTGTCTAGGAACCTTGAAACCAGTGCTCCTGAATTCCAATCAGAGACCCTGCTGTTAATGTTAAAAGAAAAATTCCTGGGTACCATGTGAAATCTTTTGCCAATGGAGGCTCTATTAGTGACGTGGGGCAAGTGAGGCTGGACACCTGAGGAAGATTCAGGGAGCTGACTTATTCGCGGCAGGGTTCAGAGGGGTATCACCTAAAATTTTCTGGACCTTGATGTTGGAATTTCATTATATTTACACTCAGTGGGAGGGGGTGGAGGTTTATTTTATTTTATTTTTGTAGGAGTCTACATAAATTTTTTTTGATTGTTCAAAGAAAGTGAATGTTTAATCATTTTTGAGATTATTCAGAGATCTTCCAAACTTTACCAAAAAAAAAAAAAAGTAACATCATCACATCTTCATTCTAACACATATTGATATCACAGCCAGGTGGGTTTTCTGGCATATTTCACCCAAGTATTAGTCATGGGAAGAAAAGCTAAGGTGGATGTCAGTGGGTAAAATTCTCTGCTGTAAAAGATGTTAAGAAAGGGACCAGGTGAAAACACAGGGGAAGACCTGCAGATCTGCATCTACCAAAGTGGTCATCAGTGGGGTCCAGGCACACAGCAGCAGCAAACTCACCACCTGAGCTAGGGGAGGGCTCAGTGCTAGAGCACCTGTCTAGTAGGCACAAGGCAAGATTGGGTCCCTGGCACCAGGGAAAGAAAAGAAATAGAAAGCCACTCAAGTAGTACAGGGCAAAGTATATTTTGAGAAGATGCCTCTCCAAACAATACATACAAATTACAACTTTTATAATGCCCTTTAATGTGCCTACATACAACACAACACATGAGACTTAGAAGAAATACGAGTGACAGAGTGGTGGTCCCAGAGTCATCAACAGGACAATAAGGCACCAAGGAAAAGGAAGAGGCCAGTAGCAGGGCACAAAAGGGAATATCTCTATGGTCCCAGCTGCTAGGAGGCTGAGGCAGGGTGACCACATGTTTGAGGCCAGCATCACCCCATTTCAAAAAATAACAATAAAAGGGCTAGGGGGAAGCTCAGTGGTGGAGCACTCCTGGGTGAAATCTGAAGGAAAGAAGGGAGCAAAGGAGGAAAAAAGAGACATTTAGCCAATCTGCACAGAATGCTGGAGTGCACAGGCCTCAACTCACATACACAACGTGTAACCAAACTTTAGAAAGACATAAAAGAATAAATTGAGAAGTCATGAAGTAATAATAATTTTTGAGAAAAAGTAGTGGGCAGCATCGTTTTGAGAAAAGTCAAATCAATAGTTGCATGACACAGTGAGGATGAAAGAACTGCACTATGGAGGGTATGTAGTGAAAAGGGTGACTTGATCCTGTACATGCGTGTGCACGTGGGTGTGAGAGTGCATGTGTGGGTGGCACAACTCACCCCTCCCAGGTGTTTGCTTTTGTAGTTTCACTGGGTGATCTAGAGAACACTCACATGAGCAACAGCCCACGTTCCATTGTCTCTGAGACTCTGCAAAATTGATTAGCTGGTGTCTGGTGCACAGAGGGAAAAATAAAATTGTTTGTTAAAAAAAAAATTCTGTAATACTCAGTGATTACTTACATTTCATTTTATCATAAGATCTTAACAGAAATGAATAGTTTGATTCCTTAAATACTAAAGCAGTCTCCCACCCTGTTTTCAACAGAAATTATCTAAAATAAACTTTTTTCAAGTGGATTTCAGTTTACTCCAACTGGAAATATAAAAATTTGGAGTATAAGGTGTGAATTAATGTCCTTGTGATGCTCAAAATCATTCTGGAGTCTTAGAGCTTGAAGGGCATTTGTATACAGAAACACATTAAAATGTAATTTTGCCTCTGAATCAATTAGGACTTGGAAACTCTCAGAAAGAAGGCACATATTGATTTACATCAAAGTTTCAAGAAACATCCAGGAGGCAGGCATGATAGCACATCTGTAATCTCAGTGGCTATAGAATGAGAATGACAAGTTCAAACCCAGCCTCACCAACATACTGAGCCCCTTGGGAAGAATTTAAAAAGCACTTCAATAAAAAGTTAAAAAATAAATAAATAAAATAAAAAGGGGTAGGGATGGGATCAGGGCTTATGCACTTTAGATATGATGATGGTGGTGGTGATGATGATGATGATAATTACAATAGTAATGTTTATTTTCTCTTCTATGACCCTGGTAATTATATTTAAAACCTCTCACAATTTTTATTTTGTCACAACATATATAAAAGTCATAAAAGTGGGCAATATGAGAGAAAATGGACTCAAGGGAAAAAGAGAGATGAAAACTCTAAAAAAAGAATTATGGGCTGGGGATGTGGCTCAAGTGGTAGCGCACTCATCTGGCATGCGTGCGGCCCAGGTTCGATCCTCAGCACCACATACAAAAACAAAGATGTTGTGTCTGCCGTAAACTAAAAAATAAATATTAAAAAATTAAAAAAAAATAAAATAAAAAAAAGAATTAAAATGCTGCAAATACAGGTTAATACATTTTAACCACAAACCTTGTGTACTATTGTATAGCATACTTGTATGTACAAAATCATACTACACACTAGATTTTGCACATACATACAAAGTAAATATAAGATTATGTCATCATATCAGAGAGTTGACTGCAGATGCAAAAAATATAGTGAGAAAAATTAAATCTAACAAGAAATTTACTGGGAGAAACATGTTGCTTTCACATCTTCTTGCTGAAAGAATCCCTACATCTACTCCAGGGTGCATTTTCATTACCTCAGAATAGACAAAAAAAAAAAAAAAAGAAGAAGAAGAAGGCATACACCCTTTTTACACACCTACAGTGGTTTTCTGAAAAAAAGGTTCCTTGCAGAAGGGGTTGCTTGACTAATTCCAGTGACAAAGCAGGCTGAGGCAGGGGATCACAAGATCAAAGTCTACCTCAGCAACATAGTGAGGACCTAAGCAATTCAGTGAGACCATGTTTAAATATTTGAAAAAAAAAAAAAAATAAAAGAACCGGGATGTGGCTCAATGGTTAAGTGTCTATGAGCTGAATCCCTGGTACCAAAACAAGTAAAATAAAATAAAGTAAAAAATTCCCTCAAGCTTGATGAGTAAGTCTAAAACAAACTGAAACAACTGAGGGTCTCACCACATTTTTATATACAAGGCTTTTCTCCAGAGTGAGTTCTCCCATAATACTTAAAAAGAACCTGGAAAGTTGAAACTGTTACCACATTGTTTAAAGAGCAGTAGGGTTCTCCCAGATGTGAATCCTCTTTGTCTTTGGAGGAAACCATGAAAGCTGAATACTGCCCCACATGGCTTAACCAGAGGACTTTCTACAGTATGAATCCTTTTACACAACTGAACAAAACTGAAACACCTGAGCCCTTTTTATTTCTTACTTGCATAAAATTTATTCATTTTGAAATGAATCTTTCAAGGAGAATCTTCCTAGTCCTTAGAAAAAAGTGGGAAAATTAGAAGACTTCCCACATTTCTTACAATCTGAGGGCGTCTCTCCATGAGTATTTTCATATAGGAGAAGGAAAGCAGGGCTAAGATGGGAAGCTGACAGGATGTATCCAATCCTCCACATTTTGTCCCAGTGTGAGTGAAATGGTTTTGAAGACACCAGGGAAAATGGAATGATTTTCCAAATTTTTTACATTTAAAGCATTATTCAGTTAGATGTGGTGGTGTATGCCCTTAATCTGAGTCTCGCGGAACTCAGGCAGAAAGACCACAAAAGCGAAGCCAGACTCAGCAACTTAGGAAGACACCAAGGAACTCCGCAAGTCTCTGATTAAATTAAAAAGTAAAAGGGATGTGGCTCAGTGATGAAGGGCCCTCAGACTAAATCCCCAGTACAATTTATAGATAGATAGATAGATAGGTACATTGACTGATTGATTGATTCAGACATGTGAGCACTTTATTCTCTTTGAATTTGACAAGAAACATTGATTTACCACATTTCACATTCAAAGAATTTTTCTACAGAAAACTTACTACACGTTAATAATTGAAACTGATTTCTCTGCACAAAGTGTTCCTTAATGTAAGCAAAGCTGAGCAGATGTAACAAAGGCTTTTCCATATTGCTTACATTCATAGGGCTTCTCTCCAGTATGTGTTCTTCCATGTCTGTGAAGGTTATTGGAACTTCCAAAAGCTTTTTGACACTGCTTATATTCATAGGGCTTCCCTCCAGTGTGTGTTCTTCCATGAATCTGAAGGTAACTGGATGTAGCAAAGGCCTTGCCACACTGCTTACATTCATAGGGTTTTTCTCCATTATGAATTTTTTCATGTGACTGAAGGACAGAGGACTGAGTGAAGCCATTTCCACACTGATTTCACTCATAGGGCTTCTCTCCAGTATGCATTCTTCCATGAACCTGAAGGTAATTGGATGTAGAAAAGGCTTTGCCACACTGCTCACACTCTTAGGGCTTTTCTCCAGTATGAGTTTTTTCATGTGAGTGAAGGATACTGGATCTAGCAAAGGCTTTGCCACACTGCTTACATTCATAGGGCTTCTCCCCAGTATGTGTTCTTCTATGTCTGTGAAGGCTACTGGATGTAGTAAAGGCTTTGCCACACTGCTTACATGCATAATGCTTCTCTCCAGTATGAATTGTTTTATGTAAATAAAGGCCAGAGGAACGAGTGAAGGCTTTGCCACACTGCTTACATGCATAAGGCTTCTCTGCAGTATGAATTCTTTTATGTGAGTGAAGGCCAGAGAAATGAGTGAAGGCTTTTCCACAGTGCTTACACTCATAGGGCTTCTCTCCAGTGTGCATTCTTCCATGAATATGAAGGTAACTGGATGTAGAAAAGGCTTTGCCACACTGCTTACATGCATAGGGCTTCTCTCCAGTATGTATTATTCCATGTTTGTGAAGGTCACTGGACCTAGCAAAGGCTTTGCCACACCGCTTACAATCATAGGGCTTCTCTCCAGTATGAGTTTTTTCATGTGAATGAAGGTTAGAGGATTGAGTGAAGGCTTTCCCCCACTGCTTACATTTATAGGGCTTCTCCCCAGTATGAGTTTTTTTTTTATGTGACTGAAGGTAACTGAGTGTAGCAAAGGCTTTGACACACTGCTTACATTCATAGGGCTTCTCTCCAGTATGCATTCTTCCATGAATCTGAAGGGAACTGGATGTAGAAAAGGCTTTGCCACACTGCTTACATGCATAGGGATTCTCTCCAGTATGAGTTTGTTCATGTATCTGAAGGTAGGAGGCAGTAGTAAAGGCTTTTCCACATTGTTGACATTCATAGGGCTTTTCTCTGGTACGTATTCTTCCATGTTTATGAAGCTGATGGGATGCAGCAAAGGCATTGCCACACTGTTTACATTCATAGGACTTCTCTGCAGTATGAGTTTTTTCATGTGAGTAAAGGTAACTGGATCTAGAAAACGCTTTGCCACACTGCTTACATGCATAGGGCTTCTCCCCAGTATGCATTCTCTTATGTATTCTAAGTAAACTGGGATAATCAAAGTCTTTCCCACATATCTTACATTTGAAATGTGCATTCCCTGTGTGTGTGATCCTGTGCCTTTGAAGACTTGTGTGTGAAATACAGGTCCAAACACCTTGTTTACATTCATAGACTTTCTCTCCAAAATGAGTTCTTTCATGTCTTCTAAATAAAGAGGAGAAATGAAATGCTTTCCCACATATGTCCCATTGAAAAAGTTTACTTCCACTATGTGTTATCATGTGTCTTTGAACACCAGAGGGATAAGAAGAGGCTTCACCACACTGTTGACATTCATCGTTTTGCCCCCCAGTATGAGTTTCTTCATGTCTTTCAATGTCATTGTAAAAACTGATGACTTTTCCACATACTTTACTTTCATAAGATCCATCTACCGTTTGTATTAACATTTGTGTGTGAACACTTTTGAGAGAAACCAGAGATTTCTTATATTGTTTAAATTCACAGGGCTTCACTGCACATTCCTCATGTTTGTAGTAATTGTGTCCAGAGTGAGATGTGATTTGCCTATGAAGAAATGAAGGACATAAGAAGTCTTTTGCACACATAATGAAGTCACATGGATTTAATCTATTAAAATTTTACTTTGTTCAATTAAGAATTGGAATTGATTTGAAGGTTTCCCCACACAAATCTGTGCCTTTGAAGTTTACCATGACTCCTTTGAAGAAATGACCAGCACATAATCAATGCTTAATTCATTCACAATTTTTTATGTATTTATAGATCTTTACATTACTAACAACATCAGGTAAAGGCTAGGTTTTCTGACTTGTTCAACTTGCCTGAAAATAAAGAGATTGAAAGGAAACAATCCTTTGCAATACAGATTCTCTATGGCTATTATCCGAATAGTGATATTTACATACGCAATTTTATAGTACTATTTGCATGTCAAATACTTTGAAAAGACTGAATATCTGTTACAGCTAAGTATGTATTTCTGATAATATAAGAATAAATACATTTCATATTACACATACTTTTTCATTTGGTTTCCTTTAAAAATTATATGACAGTTCTCAGATTCCCTCATGAATTCCTCTTGTGAGTACAGTTACCTTACATTGGTTCCAAAGTTTTCGATCTGATTTTCAGTGGTCTTGTCTTCCCTCTTGTTTTCTAAAATGAGAGAACAGAACAATCTTTATAAATATTTAGGAGCTAGAAATGCTTTGCCAAATCATACGTGCCATTTATGCTGCAATTAGTTCACCAACTTATTCCCTTTTCACCTTCTACATAAATGACCAAAATAAACATGAGGTCTCTATTTGATTAATTTTAAAAACATCATTATTACCTATAGAAGCCAGGTTTCTGAGGACCTCCAGCATCACATCTTTGTAAAGGTTCTTCTGGGAAGAATCCAGAAAAGTCCACTCCTCCTGGGTGAAGTTCACAGCCACATCCTTAAAAGTCACTGAGATCTAAAATATCCCACCAAATGTGTAGTGGAGGCCAGGAGAGATTGACAGCATGAGAAATTTATACTCAACATGCATGATGTTCACATGATTCCCTGGCCTCTTAATTAATTACATGATTTGATCCATCAAGTCTTTACTGTACTCCACTTCTTAGACCCATTCCAACACTAGAAATTGGCTACTCAGAAGGCAAACATCCTTTTTTAGTGTTTTATACCCTTCCTTTTGTGAGTTCACAGGAAGTGAGACAGGCTCCCAGATCACTCCTAACTTCTTTATTGGTTGCACCTCTATTACATGTCCTAGAAACGTCCTGTGTGGTACAGAGCTAAAATAAGCACTTTGGATAGTACTTATCTTTAGAAAAGAAAGGTGATGAGTAGGAATTTGCAGGAATCATGAAACTAATCATTTGAGAGAGATTCTGCAAACTACAGTGGCTCCTTGTACCTACGAGGTTAATATAAACAACACGGTATTTACTAATGTCCTGTTTCCTCTGAAATTCTATCATTCCATACTTAAAAAAAAAGCCTAGAACCAGACCCCACACACAACCTCTGGGGATGGGGTCAATTACGAGATTCCTTCATAGACAACATTTAGACAACCTTTCACACAGGTTGTCACAATGTGGTAACTGGAGATTGAGTTCATCCTCTGTGATTATACAGAGTACAATTAGAAGTTTGCAGGTGCTTTACTTCAGAACAAATTTAGTCAACTAGCTTACTATTAAGTGACAAAAACAAACATAAGTTCTCTATTTGATTAATTTATTTATTAATAAGCACAACAATTCAATAATTTCCTGTGGTTACTGTCAAAGCACAATGGGGCAAGTGAAAAGATAGCACGTGTCTTAGAAATAACTCAATGACCCAAAAATGTCACCTTGTCCAAAAAACAGTCTTACAAAGTTTTATATCTCTCAAAACAATCTTAATAAACAGCAGGCACTACATTTCTAAGTTTCATAGTAAAAATGAATGTCCAATGATTGTCAAATTCTTCTTAACAGCAGCCAGTTAACTACCATAACGTACAGTCATGAGACACATACGAATGCTCTGCTCAAGGACATTTTAATCAAGGTTGGGCCACATGTGCAATGGTTATCTGTTGTGAAAGAGATTCATGGTGCCTGTAGAAAAGGAGGTGCAAACAAACGTAAGGCAGAAGCTCTTCCAGAGTGTGGTAAAGCAATCACAATCAGTAGATTCACAGTCTGCAAAATCAAGTTCTTCATGAACATCAGCATCACTGATAAACTGACATAAGGCTAAGAATATAGAAGACAGAGACTGGGGCTATGGCTCAGTGGAAGAGTGATTGCCTAGTGCTTGCGAGAAACCAAGTTCAATCCTCACTGACACATAAAAAGAAAAAAGTGTAAAATATACAATAACTTTAAAGAAAAAAGCAAAGAGGACTGAAAACCTACTAACACATTTAAACGTGTCATCATCAACAATGCACTAGGACTTCAAGATTATCATAAACATGCTTGACACAAATTAGACAACTTGCAAAAACTGGACCATTTCTTTGAGAGAGACAATCTCTTACAACTTACACACAAGGGGAAATAAACAAAACAGATGAGCCCATGGCTACTGAGAAAAATAGACTCAATAACTAATTACTACCCAAAAAGGCAAGGCAAGACAAGGCCCTGACATCTCAAACAGGCATCCATGAGACACTTAAGAACTGCCACCAATTTTCTACTTTTTTTCCAGAACATAGGAGCTGAGTTAACACCTCCTAATTCTTTCTGAGGCATAAGTTACCATATTATCCAAATTAAATAGATAAAGAAAAGTATTAAATAGAAAACAAAACTATGAATGATGCTCATAATCATAAATGTAAAAAACTGTACAATTAAGTCATCACATTCCAGGTGTCTATGCAAATGATAGGGCAATTATGGGCACAGGAATCCTCACCACAGTGACTACAGCAGCCATATCCAGAAGTGCCCAAAGCTAGACGCAAGGAAGATACACCTTGCAATACTGAATAGACAAGCTGCAGTTTACCCACACCAAAGAACATCACCCAGAAAATGAGCTCTTTAGCCTGGAAAGATACAGCACCCTTAAAGGCAGACAGGTAAGAGAGAGAAGCCAGTTTGAAATGGCAAACTGCAGTAAGATTCCAAGTCAAGAACATTCTGGAAAAGACAACATTATAGATGCACTAGCAGAACTGATGGGTACCAGGGACTCAGGGAGCATAGAGGGAGGAAGGAATGAGAGGAGTGATGAACAGGTGGAACACAGGATTCCCAGAGCAGTGAAACTCTTCTGTATGACATTATCTTGTAAACTACGTGACACACACAATCACATCACACAGAGGAGGAACCCTAAGGTAAAGGATGAACTTTGGCTTATCATAACATGTTGCTTCATGCATTCTCTTTATCAAATGTTCAACACTGGTTTAGTAACTAACAAACACCCTACACCAATGCAATATGTTGAAAAGAGTGGAGACTATCAGCTGGAGAGAAGGGGTATTCGATACTATGAGTAATGGCACATTTAATTGTCACCTTGATTGGATTAAAAGATGCCAATGATTAAATCTATAAATGGTTGGCATGTGGAACAGTGTGTTTACAAATGATTGGCATGTGGAACAGCGAATCAAACTGGAGAACCTCCTTAAGGTAGGCAGCACCATCCAATAGGACGGTGTCTTGGGTGGAACAAAAGTTGGAAGAAGAAGGAAGCTGCAGCAGAGCAAGCTCCTTTCTTCTCCAATTTGTTCTTGATGGCTGCTGCAGTGGCCTGAGATTATCAGACTCTGCCTTCTTCAGTCTCCCAAACTGGACTCTGCCAGTGATTCTCCAGGGTGTTTCCAGAACCTTAGGTCTGGACTACGGTAGCACCATTGATCCCTCTTGTTCTGAGGCTTCAGCCTCTTGGACTCTGCAGCAAGCACTCCTAAAACTCTCCAGCTGCAGATGGCCACTGTGGACATCCAGCTTCAGGTCAAGTAGGCCAATCTAATAAGTCCCCTTTTATAATCATACTTCCTCTTGATGCTGTTCCTCTAGAGAACACTGACTAATAAACTATGTAAGTCAAAAATTGCTCTGAAAAAAGTAAAGTTTATGTCATAAAGAAGTGAATAAACTACCAAGCTCTGAAGTTTTACAAATATATACATGAGAAACAATTTTATATGCTAAATACCATTTTCATAATAATGCAAAAATAAAGCAAAGAGAAAGAGTCACAGTAACAAATTTAAAAACCATGGACAAAAGCAAGGAAAATGATTTTCAATACTGTTTCCATCTCGAAAGAAATTGGATGATAAGTCTTCAAAAGTCATTGTGTGCTCAAGCACACAATGAGTTTAGTTTTGCTGTGCTTAGCAAATCAAAGGGGTTCTGTGAGAAACTATGAACTCTTTGAACTGTGTGCTTGTTGCCATCTTAAGAAGATAAAAGAATGTTCTGCCAAGTTTAAATATATACATATGTGTATATATATATATATATATATATATATATATATATATATATATATATATATATATATTTGTGTGCTTGCCAGAAAATAACTAACTACAAGTAGTATAATAAAAAGTATAGAGCACTGTGACCAGTAACAAAGTTATTCTGAGAATGTTTATCCATGCTGGAAAAGATTAAGCTGCCAAGAGGATGTGTTTCTTTTTTGCTATATAAAAGAAGAAAGGAAAAAAAATAAAGAGGTGCTCATTCCTACTCTGTGTGTGTGTGTGTGTGTGTGTCTTTCAGCATCTCTGCTGTTACCACCTGATCAGCAACTACAGATTGTCAGCAGGGTCTGACAAGTCATTCCAACTGCTGGTGTGGTGGTGTGCACCTGTAACTTCAGCCAATAGGGAGGTCAAGGCAGGGAAATGGCAAGTTAGAGGCCAGTCTCAGCAACTTAGCAAGACACTCAGAAATTTAGTGAGACTGGTCTTCATTAAAAATTAAAAGAGGGTACTGGGATTGTAGCTGAGTGGCAGAGCACTAGCTAGCATGTGTGAGGCACTGGGGATGATCCTCAGCACCACAGAAAAATTTAAAAAAAGATATTCTGTCCATCTAAAACTATATAAAATATAAAAAAAGAAAAATAATAATAAATACAAGGCTGAGGATGTGCTCAATGGTCAAGTGCCTGTAGGTTTATTCCCCAGTAAAACACCTGCCCACCGCCAGAACGCTGCTCAAAAATTGAAATTCATTTCTGGAGGATAACTAAGCATGAGCAAGTCCATGGCATCAATCCCCAGCACTCAATAAGTAAGCATATAAATAAAAAACAGTCTACAATACTAATTCTCTTGGGCTGGAGAGTAGCTCAGTAGTAGCAAAGTTGCCAAGGATGTATGTGACTCTCAGATCAATCTCCAGCAGGCCACACACATACACACACACACACACAAAAAAAAAAAAACAAAAAAACTAAAATACATGTAATGAGAGATAAAAATGATTATAACACAAAAGGTACACAATTAGAGGCATAAAATACAACAAAATCAATGGAAAGACAACACACCTTCTCACAAGGGAGATTGAATGTTTCCATAATCTACACACTCTAAAAAAACACTGAGCATTTCAGTAAATTCTGTGAAATTTAGGGCATGGTTTACTGTATTTTGTGGGTAAACTTTAGAAAAACTACATCTAAAAATGTAAATAGGAGGGTTGGGATTCTGGCTCAGCAGTAGAGTGATTGCCTAGCACATGAGAGACCCTAGGTTGGATTCTCACCACCACATAATAATAAATAAATAGGTATTTTTTCCAACTACAGCAACAAAAAATACTTTTCAAACAATTGAAAATAGCAGACTGTATCTAAGACCAGCCAAAATGTTGTACAGGACAGAGAGAGTAGAGAGGGCATTTATGTTGCTCCCAAATTTCATAAGGTAAAAGGCCACCTCCCAAAGGGGTGGCCCTAGGAGGATGCAATTAGGATGGAACAGGAATCAGGTGACATGGTGAGAGTGCTCTTTAAGGGATCATAACCCTTATTTAGACACTTGTATTTCTTTTTTCCAGAAAACAAGTGTCATTTACTATTTCACTGATATTCAGTGATTAAATGATCATAATTGGGTATTTCAGGTATTGCCAAAATTGTCCTTAAAATTTACAATGAACAGGTGTGATGGTGCACATCTGTAACCCCAGTGGTTCAGGAGTCTGAGGCCCTAAGTGATGTAGCAAGACTCTCAAAACAAAGAATCTAAAAGGGGCTGGTGGTTAAGCACCTCTGGGATCCATTCCTGATACCAAAAAACCACACAGCTAACATGAACCTGCCAAGTCGAGACAGTAACAGTGAAAAATTGTCATCCTTTGTCAAATTCATCACCTTGCGAAGGACAGATACTAGTTTTCATGAAATCATATTCATAAGTTTATCCACCACAATTTTTGTAGAATTGGACTCAAATTCTGCAGCAATAACGCAAGACAGAGTTTCTCTGTATCTTACGTGGCATTTTGGAATCTAGGATTGGATTTCAATTTGAAATCACTGAAAAGACAAGACTGAATCTTACAGATATTTTATACATACTCATGGGTAGCAAAAGGTAAATTAGTTAATTAAGATTTTTTTTTCTTTTCTTTCTTCTTTTTTTTGGTTTGGTACCCCAAGATTAAACCCAGAGATATTTTACTACTGAGCCACATCCCCAGTCATCCAGTCATTTGTATATTTTATTTTGAGATGCAGTCTCACCAGGTTGCATAAGGCCTGGATAAGTTGCCAAGGCTGTCCTCAAATTTGGAACACTCCTGTCTCAGCCTCTGGAGCAAGAAGGATCAAAGGTGAGTACCACTGTACCTGGCTGTAAGTTGGGATGTTTAACAATGGAAATGTAACTAGACTTTTTAAAACCCGCTTCTCTCTTGCCTCTTTAATAATAGTCCATCCCATGTGGCTCTTAATAAATAAACCTGGGCCTCACGTAAGTGAGCACATCATTTCAAAGTGATACACAGAAAGCTTTGGTGCTGAGGGAGCACACATATGTCAGGCTCAAGGGGCAGAGAAGGTCCCTGACATCTGGGACATGATCCCTCCTGGTCTTGCTCCCTGAAAGTATCCAGGATCACCCTCCCATGGACCTGGACTATGACTCCAGTCTATGAGGCTTTTCAGTTTTGCACAGCTCTGCACTAGGGTGGATGGTCCTTATGCTCTGGGAGAGGCTTTGCTCCTTCACACTGCGAGAGACTATAAGGGCAGAAGTCACTGCTGACCTGGCCCCTCAGCACCAGCATCCACAGGCTGACTGTCCACCTGTCTCCAAGGAATGGGAACACAGCTTGGGGAAAACAAGGTCCCACAGAAATGGCTGTCTAGATGAGGTCTGTTCCAAGAGATTCCTCAGATCAGAGCCCCCAGCAGCTTCCCTGAGAGGCTGCACCCTACATCTCAGGCTGTCCCCTAGGAGGAGCTGGCCCAGGGCCTGAAGTTCTGTTTACCCTGCAGGGCACAGGGCAGCTGTGGGCACCTTGTGGCAGCTCCAGGAGAGGACAGTGGCTGAGGACATGGGACCCTGTGAAGTGTCCAAAGGGAAACTCTGCCCAAGAAATCTGACATGGTGTCTACACCTAAGGAAGGTAAAAGGAGAGGCACAAGATTTTTACAGCTGTGAACTCAAGTTCTCTATACAGTTGCATCTACATCAAAGAACCTTCAGAGTACTTGACTTCGGCCAACCAGACAATCATGAGGGTGGAAAGGCAGGGTTCTGTATGGAGCGCAAAAATTATCTTGGGCTATCTTAAGCCCTTCAATAGCCAATTATCTTCATTTCTGTATCAGACCACAATCTCATAATTTCTCAGAATATATCACTAACCTTACCAGACATCTCAAAAATCTACCAAAGCTCAGAATGCAATAACAGACATACAGAAGAAATTTTCTCTATTTTTCTTTCTGTACCCCACCAATCTGATGTTCCTACCAATGCAATTGGTTAATGCAGTGATACATAGTGTTTTTTTTAATAAAAGTTCATGTAGGCCAGGCACAGTGGCACACAACTGTAATCCCAGCAGCTTGAGAGGCTAAGGTAGGAGGATTGCAAAATTCAAAGGCAGCCTCAGCAACTTAGTGAGACCATAAGGAACTTGGTGAGATCATATCTGAAAATACAATATAAAAAGGGCTGGGGATGTGGCTCAGTGTTTAAGTGGCCCTGCGTTCAATCCCTCGTATATTAAAAAAAAAAAAAAAAATGAAAAGAAAAAAAGAAAGAACAAAAGAAAAAAAGAAGAAAGAAAGAAAGAAAGAAATGATGAAATCATGTAATCTCTTCCAGGGAGGGACACGCACATCATTCAGGGTAACTTGAATCCATGTTCCTTAGTATGGTAATGAATATTTGGGTTAAAATGAACTATTTTCTGTAGCTGGGGTTGTCAGTGCCTTTAATCCCAACAGCTTTGGAAGCTGAGGCAGGAAGATCACAACTTTCAGGCCAGGCTGGGAAAAATACCCAGATCCTTTCTAAAAATCATATTGAAAAGAGCTGGGGATGAACGACAGTAAATGAATCAGACATTATTGTAGTGGCATCCCCTTTTTTCACAGAAAATTTTAACTGGATTTCTTCAGAAATCTTCACCATGGCTAATTTTAGGACTGTCAACAAAACAGTGTCCACAAAAAAGTTCAGTGTAGACAAACTTCCTACTTTTGTGTTGCCCTATTTTACTGGGCCACTAGTCTGAGAGAAATTAGCACTCCAAGTGCTGGACTAGAACTCCCCTTACTAGTTTTTACACACTTGTGTCCAGTATAGTAGTTTGTAGAAATGTGCAAACAAGGCCTCTGACCTTGAGCTGGGCTTCACAGAGAACTTACCAACTAGGCTCCATAGCAACAGCTAATGGAGGAGGAAAAAAAGGGGAGAAGAAGCTCTCCCCTTCTCAGGTGCTGTCCTTGAAGGGTTAACTTGGTCAGAACAGAGAAAGAAAAAGCTGCTTTTATGTTTGTGATGTGACAACTTGACTATGGTGACTCCATTTTGTGAACTCAGCCATGACACTCAAAAAGGTCATGACTAGGGCAGTTTGTATTCTTTTGTTCATGAAAATCCCCCCAAAACACAGAATGATCTATGGTGCCAACTGCAGACTAACTGACTGCAACTTTCAGCCTTGCTTGCATTGCCTGAACCCCAAATGTCCCTTTTGTGGTTTTTGTGCTTAAATATGGAGCCAACTGAAGGCAGGGGCACCACTCTGATCATCTCATTCTTTTGAGAGCAGAGTGTCTGCCAAGAGCCAGCAATAAAGGCTTAATTTGAATGAGACTGTGTGGTCTGAGAGTTATTTGAGAGTCTCCGTATTACAATGTGAACTTCTGAGCCCCTCCTCTTACATGATGAGTATAAAATCCTAAAACCACCTGAACTCAGGGTTCAGGGGATTGATTGATTGATTACAGCAAAAGCTGTGCCCTCTGAGACTGGCTGCAGCCAGATAAAACTGTTTCTGGCTATCTCCAGTGCCTAGCCTCCTTTGTCCCTACCATTTCCCTGTGTGCTTACATGACTACATGACTGGTGTGACTCTACATCATGGACTATCAGAAAAGGGAGCAGTTATACTCTACTGATGTAGTCCAGGATTCCATATCCCTGAGATCTATAAACAACGACTTTATTCCTTTTAAAGCAGTTATTTTGAGCAAACAAAAGGAAGTGTTAAGTGATTATTCTTTCCCGTCAAGTATAACATTCAGAAATAGAAAACAAATGCTTTCAAAAGCATTTGTTTTATTTTTGTTTTGGTTTATTCCCCAGTACCTCAAAGAAAAAGAAAGAACTATATAACATATAGTGGCACAGGCCTGTCATTCCAGATATGAGGGAGGCTGAAGCAGGAGAATTACAAGTTATGGCAGGGGAGGGAGGGAGGAAAGGAGGGGGAGAGGGAGGCAGGGAGGAGGGTAGGTGGGAGAGAGGGAGGGAGGGGGGAGGGAAAGAGAGAGAGGAAGGGGGAGGGAGGGGGGACGGAGAGAGGGAGGAGGGTAGGGGGAGAGAGGGAGGGAGGGGGGAGGGAGGGGGGAGGGAGAGAGGGAGGAGGGTAGGGGGGAGAGAGGGAGGGAGGGGGGAGGGAGAGGGAGGAAAGGAGGGCGGAGGGAGGGAGGAAGGAAGATTCTTTCCAATATTTCACTAAGTACTAATGAAAATTAGTGGACGGTGTCCATTTGAACCGAGTGGGAAGAACGAACGTCTGGCCCAGCTGTGAGGTGGAGGGAAGGTGGGGTTAAGAAGGCAGGAGGCGCCTGCAATTTGGAGGACCTACAGCAGCCTCCTGAGGAGTTCCACTGGGAGAAGGAAGGTGCATTTGTGGCCCTGTTTCCTACACGTTGGGAAGAGTGGGTCGGGCCACCGGTGGAGAGGAGGGTACACCAGGGACCTGAGCCGCCCTTCCAAACTCAGGGAACCAGGGGACAGGGCCCAGGGCCACCCGCCAGCGGGGAGCTAATCCGTGCTGCTGGCCCCAAAGCTGATGGTGACTCTGTACCTTCAGCCCTGGTCACAAACTCACCATTGTTGGCTTCCGTGGTGACCGGGGATCCTTTGAGGAACATCCCATCACCCGAAATTGCGGGGTTCACAGGGAGCGAGAGTCACCTGGGTCCCTGAGGCAGAGAACTAGGGCGCTGGAGAAGGAGTAGCCCAGTCGCAGAGGAAGAAAAGCCCGGGAGACTGCGGAAGCCCGCCCTCCCCCTTCCTCTGCGCACTGATTGGACAGTTCCTCCCAGCATCCTTGATGGATGGCCTCCAGGCCCGCCTCTGCATCGTGACTGACAGCTAACATCATCCAATAACTGACTGAAATTGGGTTAGTGACAGATTCTTGGCCCCAGCCCTTTTCAGGCGGAGCTTCCCCGCTGTGCTGGGAACTTATCCAGGTCGGAAGCCTGGGCTTAGCCTCTGGTACAGAGGTGATATGTGGGACTGCTTTATATGTAAAACAGCCATAGAGTGCTTTCTGGCCATGGCGAGGCCCTGGGTTTAACCTCAACACAAAAACAAACCATAGCTTCTAGGGGAGGTTTAGGCTGGAGGAGCCCAAGGTCAGTGAGATCTTCTCTTAAAATAAAATGAAAAAGGTGGGGTTGTAGCTCAGAGGTCCAGGTCAAGCCCCACTGGGTTTATTCCCCAGTACCTCAAAGAAAAAGAAAGAACTATATAACATATATATTGTTTTTTTCAGCTGATGCGACCTCAAGCGACTTAGAAAGACACAGTCTCCAAATTTCTGAAACACTATTTAAAGATATCATATGTATGACCCATACACAATATCTAAAAATGAGAACAATTTGAAAACTATTTTAGTAATTCTCTTCACCTCCTGGCCTCTGTTGCTTTGAGGAGGCAGCCTGAGCTATGAAAGGAAGCAATTGGGGTTGGCTCTGATGCTCAGGGTTCCATCCCCAGCAGAGAGGGTCCTCAGGGAGGAAGGAAGGCAATCCTCTAGGGCAGCAATGTGTGGTGGAAATAAAATGGGTGCCTTGTGCTTAGTGTAGATGTTCTACTTTGACTGTTAGGAAGTCTTATGCAGAGACCTGACTCTGGGGATCCCACAGGTCTGGTCAGGTGTTTGCCCCAAAATCAAACAGAAAAGGTCATGATGCAAAGCAGGAAAGAAACTTTGACCAGTGCAGCTACACCAGGAAGACAAGGAAACCCTGCCCTTATGCTGTCTTCAGGTGCTGACAAGGACTTTGAGGGTTTTGTTTTGTTTTGTTTTGTTTTTTAAACAGAGAAGATTTATTTATTTTTTTTGAGAGAGAAAGAGAGAAAGAGAGAGAGAGAGAGAGACAATCTTTAATATTTATTTTTTAGTTTTTCACGGACACAACATCTTTGTTTGTATGTGGTGCTGAGGATCGAACCAGGGCCGCGCGCATGCCAGGCGAGCGCGCTACTGCTTGACCACATCCCCAGCCCAGGACTGGTGCTGACAAGGACTTTGAGGTTTTATAGAAGGATAATCATAGGTATGTAAAGAAAGGGAAAAGTGTATGTAGGATTCAGTATTATCTGTAGGATTTAGGCTTCAGGCATCTGTGGGTCTCATGTCTGTGAGCTCACACTCACTTGCCCCATTGACACATGTCCCTCTACTGCACAGACTGACCTCATTTTATCTCTCAGGAGGAAGTCCCCCTCCAGTGTATTCTTTCCATGTCAAGGTTTCAGATGCACCAACATTTTCAAGCAAAGCCACAAGCCCTAGAAAGAACATACCCCCAGAAGCTGACCCAGGGTCTCAGCTTGAGAAGGCGATTATCCGAGGTCCTGGGATGGGGCGTGTTACTCCGCTCAGCCAGGGAGCAGCACCTGTGCTGGTGTCGCAGGCACAGTTTCTGCAACTCGACCCAGTTCCCCCTTGTGCTCGGGCTGAGCCCGCTCCTCCTGCTTGGCCCCCACCTCTGTCTGCACCCCACCCCAGTGCTGCTCTCCAGGACAAGCAGAGAAGGCGCCCAGGGCTGGGTTTAGGTGACTCTGGGTCTCAGGACACCACTTTTTCTTCCCCAGGGAGCATAGCTAGACCCCTCCCCGGGCCTGAGTGGGGCCTGAGTTGCCGAGCGCCCCTCTGCTCTGGGGATCCCAAGGCTGTGGTTGGCGCTGCTGCAGGATCTTGTCCTGGAACCAAGGTCCACAATCCACCCCAACCTCTGCTGGCATCTCCGCCCTGGTCCTGCCTGCCCTGCTGGCTAAACCCAATTAACCTGCAAACTCTGGCCTGGGTGGTGTCCTTGGGGACAGGTTCTCCTTTCTGGCTGCCCAGCGAGTTTGCGGCTTCTGGAGCTTTTTAACTGGGTGGGGCTTGAGTATTGTGGCGGGGGGCCATTTTTTATTCCCACTGTTATACCAGATTCCTGGGACCCCATAGACCTCCAGGAGCCAAATCTGATGCAATCACACAGGAGTCTTTACTGCAAGCTCCAGCCTGGACTCACAACCCTTTCCAAGACAGCTGTCCCGGGAGTGAGTCCTGATTTTTTGTTCAGTGAGATTTTATAGGTTTTCGGGGAGACACTCTACATGTCACAACATCACACACAAAGAATTTCACACCATGGGAAAATCAAACAACTCTTAACATTGATTAGCACATTCCCTGGCGGGAACAAGTTGGGTAGGGGGGATTGGTGAGTTCAAGAGGTGGGGCCAAGATGAGTTGCAAGAGTATGCTCCGCCAATCTACATGGTTTCCTTACATGTTATGGATCACTGAGACTACTGGGGGAGGGGGGGTCACCTGGCATTCCAGTTACTTTTCCTGTCTTTAGCTGATTGGTGGTTCCTAGTGGGTTGCTATGGGTTTCAGGGTCAAGGTGTAGGCCACAAACAGGGTTTGGACTTTCCAGGAAGTAACATTGCTGAGTCAGAGACACCTGGAACTGCAGATCTCTCCTGTTATTTATAGACAAACAACTCAGCAGGTAAGGGTTCAGTGAAGCGTCGGAGAAAGAGACCACCAAGTGACCACTCATGCAATTGGCAGAAGGGGATTTATTGATCTAGCATGCTAGGGCTCCGTGCCCACTCAAGAAGGGAGAACAGCCCAGAGCCCAGAGCAGGGGTTGTGCAATGCTTAAGTACACTTTTTTGGGGAGGGCGGGGATTTTACATACATCACAGTCTCCTTTAACAAATCATCATACACCGCGGGAAAATCAAACAACAATTCCTAAACATGATTAGTTCATTCATTGGCGGGAACAGGTCGGGCGGGGGTGATAGGTCAATTCTAAACGGGATACACATTCAAGATCATACAGAGGCCTGAGTAATTAAACAACCAAGCAGTCAGGGGGAATATTTGCTGGGCGGTTCCAAGCATTGTCTTAACAGCTACAGGTATTTCAGGTTTTGCATGTGGCATAGAAACCTAACAATACCTAATCCTTTACATTTTAACTCAGGCCTTGCAGCCTAGGAACTTTACAATGCCCGGTCTTTTACTCTTTAACTTTTACACTTTAACTTCAATTTCTTTTACCCTTACAAGCACATAGCTTGCTCCGTGCCTAGGAATGCTCTGTGGATTTTCCCAGATCAAGAGTCACCCCTCCCTTGGACAGGTCCTGCTCTGAGGTAGAGGCTATTTTTTAAAAAATGAAGTCACATCAGTTTCTCCCCACCAAGAATCTTGGGATAGCATAACCCGCCTCAGAGGATCAGTGAGTGTTCAGCTCCAGCAGGCTCCACCTTTGGAATCTGTAGGGTGCTGGACTCCAGGCTCCATGGATGCACTCAGGGCCTGGGGTATCTGCATGCTAAGCCAAGGGTACCTGATTCCAAGTGTCTTCTTACTGGGGAACTGCGTGATGGTGCTCTCGGCAGGACCCTGCTTCTTCTGCTGACACAGATAATCTGTTTTCACTATTGCAAATCAGTTCTTTATTTTTACCAGAGAAAATTAGAGTTTCCTGTATTGCCAGGCTCCCCTGAATCCTTGGGGAATATTGATTGAAAATGCATGCAGGAGGCTCACCCCCCTTAACTCAGAGTTGGAATCACCAGAGGGTGCTGGAGGTGGAGAAAAGGTCTTTGTTTTAATTTGGAAATTTGAATATTCACGTTTCCATAGGCTCCGGACTTACAGATGGGGTCACATCCAGAAACCCCAAATACTGTACATTCAGAATGCATTTCACAAATCTCACCTGCAAACATCCTAGATTAACAGCCCAGTACATTGTATGGGTTGTTTCCACTTCATTTTTATTTAATATATTTCTTTGTGTTTTTTGTTACTAGAGATTCAACTCAGTGCGCTAAACCACTGAGTCACATGCCCAGCCTTTTTAATATCTTACATAGAGACAAGGTTTTGCTGAGTTGCTCAGAGCCTCACTAAGTTGCTGAGACTGGCTTCCAAATTGCAATCTGCCTCCCACAGTGTCCCAAGCAGCTGGGATTACAGGCATGCACCACCGCGGCAGACAGGACTATGTTTATAAAGGAGCCCTTGGGTCATGGGAGCAGAGATGTCATAGAATCTCAGAAAATAAGTATGTTGGGTGCTGCTAGGTAGACTATCAAATGTACTGAGCGTGATCCTGGGTTACAAATGCTCTGGGGTCAGAGGGTGCTGCTTCCCTGTAGAGAGGTATTTGAAGAAGTTTGCTTGAATAGGGGAAGGTGAGAAAGTTCAAAACATCACATAACAGAGAATATTGTTATCTAATAACAGTTAAATCATAATGCAATAAAACATAAGCTCTACATTATGATTTCCAGCCTATTTAATGCACAATGTCAATAATCATGTTGAAGTCAGCTGTAGTGGTGCACACCGATAATTCTAGTGACTCAGGAGGCTGAGGAAAGAGGACTGCAACATGGGATTCAGGCTCAGCAACTTAGCAAGGCCTTAAACAACTTAGAGTCTGTCTCAAACTAAAATCTAAAAATGGGTATGCAGCTCAGTGCTAAAGCACCCTTGGTTCAATCCCTGGTACCACTACTACCATTAATAATAATAATAATTAAAAATATAATTGTGTTGATACATTTGCAGAATTGATAGCTTGACACTTATGGGGTAAGAACTTGGAGCCTCCGTGGGGACTTGGGCTATAAAGCCAACAGTGTCATATGTGTGGTTGGGTCTGGAGGGCATGACCCAGCCCAGAGGATGCTGAAGATCTCAGACGTGATGAGATGGGCTGGTGAAAGAGG